CCTGAACGGGCCGGTGTCTTCTGCGCGAGCGGCTTGGCGCGTTGGTCCCGAAAATGTAGGGTTCAGGCTTGTCTCCGGACTGCCTTTTCCCCGAAGTTAACTCCGTGGGGGATGACTCAGCCGTCCCGCACGTTTGTAGTCCCGCCTACCCACCTTGTTGTGTAAGGGAGGCAGTGTAATTTTAGGGTGGCGGTGGTGGTTTTTTCCTTCTCTGTTTTCCACTAGGTGCTGTCATTTAAAGTAGTTTATGTGGACATCAGAAGTGGCTCCTTTTCCTCCACCCCTTCGTTGTTTTTTAGTCTCATGTCGTCTTTGTAACTTTTCCGTTAAAGCCTGTATATAAAATGTCAATTCGTAGTTTCTTTGCATGGGCAGTATTAGGTGGATTTGACTCTTTTCTTTTTGTTGTGTTGGTGGCTGAAGTCTGTCATTGACTGATTTTCCCACAGTTAGGAGATCAATCAACATAGCAGATTTGTTCCCCCACTCACCCTCCTTGGTATGCTGAGATTCCAACCTATAAATAAGTGTGAGAATTAAAAGGATATTTGTTAGAGATGTTAAGTGCTATGTTGTAATTGTACGTTTGATTTCATCAGGATAAGTTCAAGTGGATGGTGGATTGTATGAGTGATGGTGAATTACACTGATATGTATTATGTTTAGCTGTGGTACATATGGAATCTATTAATATGTAATGTCCCATACTCAATAGACATTTTTGGAAGTAATTCCAATATGAGATACATTCCAGTTAATCTGTGACATTGGTTTGTAAAATTTAGCTTAGATTTTTGCCAGAAGTTGATAATTTTCACTGTTCTGAACTAGACACCTACAGTGTTGCTTCAATTATTTTGTGACTTCATTGATTTAGCTGCCAAGCCTTTGCATTCTCTTTATAAATGTGTTACATTTTCCTTACAAATATGTTTAATTTGCTTTTTAAAGTAATGATGAATAAAATTAATAGCCACTATTTAACATTCCCTCAAAATGTTTTCCTTTGGTATTGTGTTACTCTAATATGCATTCTGTTTTTCAGAGAGTAATAATTACATATTTTAATTTTATAAAGGGAGGGAAATTCTAATTGAACTGGCAGAATGTATTGATAAGAATCTGTGTTAGTTACTGTCATATGTAAATAAGATGTTTCTTTAAGCAAACAGAAGTTGACAGAACTCTTACATGGTACACAGTTAAACATGACATTTTTCTGTAAATTTGAATGCATACTTACTATTTATGTGCAGTTGTTCAAATTCAAGATAAGAAAATAGGGTATACTAGACCATCGTGTGACCCGTTGGGTCATTCTCTGAGAGAAAGGTAGGGCAGTCTGATGTGACCAGAATGAACATTAAATTTTAGGCTGACCATATTCCATGAATGGACAGTTCTGTGATCATCTAAGAAGAGTATATATCATAAACAGAAAAATAATTGTAGTTGCAAACAAACTTCAATAATAAGTCAGTATTTACTTACCTAAACAGATAAACAGAATGACCACAGGTGGGCAAAAAATCAGTGGGAGGGAGTGTTGAAAAACACGATCACATGACTGTGGGGATGCTGCAAAGGCCACAACTTTGCAAATAAAACTGGTCTGAACATCATGGAAATGTCAATTCCACAGGAGTAATGGGTCCCAGATTTTTTTTTTATGCATTCTTTAAGTTAGCAGATTTTAGGTACCTTGATTCAAAAATGTTTGCAGTACTACATTTGGACTAACTTGAGGGTACAAACAAACAAACAAACACAATGAGAGTTTTAGTAGTATATAGATAGATGGTAGGTGCAGAAGTCTGGACAGTTAAAAAGAGGTTGGATATCTGGATGATCTTTGACTCTTCAGAACAACCATTACATACTTAAAAGAAAACTAAAGGGTTTTGCAATGGCTTTGACAATTCGTAGACCTGAATATTATTGAATATCTGTGGAGGGGAAATGTAGTGTAGTGCATACAGAGACCTCAGATCGCAAGAATAGGAAGACTTTTAACTGGCCACAGGAAATATTTGGAAGCTGTTATTTCTGCCAAAGAAGGTGTTCCAAAAAGTAGTGAGCGAAAGGGTGTCCAAACTTCTGCACCTGCCATATATCCAATTTTCTTGCTTTGAATTGCTGAACTTCTGCACATAATTGGTAAACATGAATTCAGATTTGTAGAAAGATGTCATAGTCAGTTGTGTGTCATGGAGAGGTTATATCTGCTTTTGCTCATTTCAGGATTCATTGAAACATAAAATTTGTCCATGGGTGCCTAAACCTTTGTGTACAACTATAAATTGTTGCCATTTCATACAAATGTTTCAGGTTTATAGCTGGTATAAAATTATTGCTGCACAATTGTGCCATGTGATAATGCACCTAGGTCTCATGTTTATATCAAATAAATGACTCATAGTTTTTAAGATACTTTTCCTTAATTTGCAAGGTTTTTTTTAAAGAGCAGGCATAGTAGAATGAGGAAACAATATTCCATATTCAGAATTTTGTATTCTTCTTTTCATATATGCTATTTTGATGTGAGCATATAATTCATGTTCCTGGATTTTCTGTGGGTTGATTTAAGTTTCAGCTTGGATTGAGAGTTGTTTTCATTCTCTGCATATTCTTATATCTATCCATAAGTATTTTAATATTTTTATCCTATGTTTATTCACCTAGCTGTAAGCTCCACTGAACTCAGTAACATTTACTTTCAAGGGATATATTTAGTATTGTGCTGTGATAGCATGATTTAGAGTATGTTGGAAAGTTAAAATGTGTTTGACATTGGAATAAACAGCAAGAGTTTTCTTATAGCGTGTAAGCATTCTATTACTGTTAAAGAGCCTAAACAAGGTTGATGATGGGAGAAATGAAACAATGCAAATTGCTACTGATAGCATGCCTTATTTGTAGAGTATTGGCTTAGTGTTTTAACTTTTACATCTGTTGCTAATATTCATAATACTTTTATACATTGTTGTTGCAACAATGCAATACTAGCGTCAAACATCACATCTAGTCATAGCATCAGGTTTTTGATCTCTGAACTAGTAAGTATATAATCTGATTATTGGCTGTTAATTTTTTTCTTTGTGTTATGAAAAAGTGATGTCTTTTTGAAAAGGGAGGCAGATAATTGCCTTTTTTAGAACTGGTGGCGCCACCCTCTCCCACAAAGAAGCATTAATTTCTAGCCATAACACTAACTATCGACCCAGCCACATGTCACCTACTGGGAGGCCTTGACCAGGCAGGAGGGGCAAGGATTTAAAGTACCAGGTGGCTGAATTCACAGGCCTGAGGTCCCTGTTATCAGGACTAACACATTCAAACTCTTCCCAGATTACCACTTAAGACCGCACCTCAGGCACCTCCTGAAGTGTTTAGCTAAAATCTACTTCCTTGCAATGTTTACTCATTGATTCTAATCCAGTCTCTAGAGCAACAAAAATTAACTATGGTTCCATCTTTCAGATAACTTGTTTAAAGACTGCTCTCAGATTGCCTCTTAGTCTTGTACATACTTTTTCAAGTGTTCTACTGGACTTTTTCTCCAGCTCCAGCTCCTCCTGGTCACTAGACATGCTCCTGGCATAATCCAGAGTGTCAATATCCTCTTTAAAATGTAACTTGCAGAATTGAAGACAGTACTCCAAAACCAGTCAGACTAGTGTACAATAAACTAAAGTTATAATGTCTCGTAACTTGTTCTGTTTCTTCTGCACAGCCTAAGATTTTTTGTTCTTTTTTTCAGCAATTGCATTATGCACTGCCAAATAGCCACTTTCACATTCTTCTAGTCACATCAAAAAGTTGAACAGCAGTTGATGCAGGACATGCATTTGTGGTTAACCAGCTGGTAAATTATGTAACAACAGTACATCCCACACAAATTTACTATCTTGTCAACGTGGATATCATGTCAGATAGTTGCCAAAATAAATATATACCATGTCCTTGGCATTCCTGTGATTTACAATATTAGTAATAGTAAGCATGTACACATATGCTTATATGTATGCACCCATAAAAATGAATCTGGTCTAGCATGACCAATGCTTATATTAAGCTGACTGCTATGTACTTTTCTGGATTTATGCTTTTCCCTATTTTGAAAAGCTGCAAACATTCTTCCCATCTTCATATTTTAAAATCATCTTGTCTGTTTTTCAAATTAATTTAGTGGCTGTGAAATAAAATTTCCAAACTTTTTCAACAACTTGAATTGACCTGACCTTGGAGCCTTAAAGCTGTATAAAGGAGTTTAATGCTTTCTTGCTCATTTCCATACCTTCTCTAAATTGTAAGTCCCTTTGTATGTCATTTGTTCTACTTGAACACAAGTTATTTTTGTAGAAGAAGAAAGAAACAAAGTAGGATTGTGGTGTTAATAAGTATTAAAGAGAAGATACAACATTATATCATTTTCCTGTAGCAAAGCTTCTTTGATCATCTTTGTACTTTCAATAAAATCAAGTGTCAGTTAATGGTAACATAGACTTTAACTATTCAGACTGCTTTATTTTACTGCTTTGTTATGTCCTTTTATCACCTACAGAAGTTGCTTCTGATCCTCAGACTGTTTGG